TATATATATATATTGGCAGTGTCTTGAAAGGGATCAGGACACAATATTCTTTTGGAGAATTCTTGGCATTGTCACATGGCACCATTTTGAGCTAGCCTCAAAAGTACATAGCTCATAGGCTTGAACTAAATGAAATGATATTCTATTTGCTTGGCAAATGAATTCATCATTTACGCCATATTATGCATAGGACATGGTATTTGAACATGTTGTAAACATGTCATAGGATACTAATTGAATACATGGTTAAGTCACTGGATGACTAAGAGAGCATTCTAAGAGTACTTTAGAAGAACTAAGAGAATATATATGAGACAATCAGTTTAGAAAGGATTTTTATGGAAAGAGCTACACAAGATGTTAATTTCTAAATAAATATAAATAATTATGAATTATAATTGGATTTTGACTTCATTATGGAATGAAGGGAAATTTTTGTAGGAATGAGGTCCAAGTAAAACATAATGACATAATCTAGTACAAAATAAGAATACACTACTTTAGAAGTTGAATTCAAATATGATTGGATGAATGGGATCATTAAAAAAAACTATGTTGATTTCTGCCATTCGAGGATCACATAGAAATCTTTGTGACTTCGAGGGTATACTTAATCAAGCTAAGAGACTCTATGTCACGAAAGAACACCAATCATATTCTCCAAGATATTTAACTATACTTAGAGTAATGTTAAGTGTGGAGATGATAGTATTCACAGAATTCACACAAATTAAATTTTGACAGATCCATTGATAAAGTCATTCGTTTGAGCTAAGTCTGATTGGTCACACTTCAGCTATAAGACTTTATTATTCTAGAAATAGGTTTTTGATTTGGATTTAGTATTTCGATATTGGAACATTATAACAACAACTATTAGATAATGTTATGATATATTGGGATATAGTCATCACATTAATACTTGTTGTGTTCTATATTAACATGTTTAATCCATGAATAATGCTATTATTCTAAAGGTTTATAGTCGGTTATAATTGTGGGAGCAGTTATGAAGTAAGACTAATATGAATTGGATTGGTTGACTCTCACTGGATGAAAGTAGGCAAGTGGTTGTAACCAAGTTTCATAGGTACTTGTCAGAGAACTAGTATTGAACTGGCTCGCATCAAGATCATCTCATGGATCGCTATCATGAATGATACTTGATTAAAAGGTACTATCTTTGTATCCTTAACACTTGAGATACATAGTGGGACTTAAGTATAGGGAATACTATGCTTTGATAATGGTCAAATGTTGTTCCTTAACTGGGCAGTTATAAAAGCCATTTTCAGGTATGGTGTGAACTATACAAGAGGCTTATGTAGTCAAGATGGGATTTGTTCCTCTTATCTGTTGAGAGTTAGACATCTAAGGCGCCTTACCAAAAACTGAACAACTAATGAGATTGATCGTGATCCGAATCTCATGTTCAACATGATGTCTGTAGCAAAGTGATAACTTATAAACTTACCTCATACACCAATTGTAGCTTTGAGCTTTTGGGGAATTGCGCATTGATAGAATGGCACAAACAGTCGTATGGTCTTAGGGGCAGTGAAATGTTGCTAGACGTTCACCATTGTCTATATCAGTCTAATATGAGTCTTGCGCAAGTGGGAGATTGAAAGATCTAGTATGCTCAAGAGTCATATTAAAGTGATATTGCTAAATAACATATGATACTAATGAGTCACACTAACAACAACTTGATACAATTGGTTATTTATTAGAAATTGATTTTAATAAATATTCAATAAAACTCTTATAATTAAATTGGAAATTATTTATTTCATGGAAATAATAATTTTCATTAGCAAGAAACATTACATTATTTCATATGGTATGAATTAATAAGTAATACACAACTTTTTGGGCTAGTTGGAAACCTTTTGTCTTTTACTCAAAAGACAAAGTTTATATTTTATAAACATTGAGTTTATAAAATTTAAACTAACTTTCTTCTTTATATATATAATTTCGAGATTTGCATAAAAAGAAGAAGAATATGGCTTTTCCATTAGTTTATTCAAAAGAATTCAAGCATGGGAGACATGTTTATGACATGGGGACATATGTGCTTAAAGTGTTAAGACCTAATGGTTAATACCTTCACTTTATGCATATAAATAAGAGGCTTGCATTTGGCTAGAGTGCTCATCCTTCACTTCTTGCAAGTGGCCGAAATCTATTTTCTCTCTCCCATTCTCTCTAGTTTTGGTTAGAAAACTTGAAGAACACTTGCATCTTCATGCCTTCTTTAAGTTCATATTGGTTATGAACTTAAAGATTAAGGGTTTAAGAGTTTTAGACTAGCATCTACATCAAGTTGAGTCATTGTTGGTGTCTCAAAGGTTCCACATTCTTCATCAACTTCCAAGCCTCCTAAGAGGACCCAAAGAACTATAAAGGTTGTTATTTCTTAACCTCTTCTTTGGTTGGTGTTTTAATCTTTCTATAACTTGCAAGAAGATCCTTGGAGGGTATAAAATGTTTATGTTATTTCAAAATTAAAGTCTTCCGTTGCCATATTTTTCAAGTTTATGAAACTATTTTTGAACTAAAATCCCAACATTTCAATCATCACACCCAGATTTGTTTTTGCTAAGCATCTCATTAACTTTTAGTGTGATGGTGAAAACTCTTACTTTTACATTTTCATCATTACAAATAACCTCTCAAGTCGAGGAGGAAATTTTTCTAATTCTAAGTATTCAAGTTCAAGTTCCTTGAAAACCTAACAACATTTTGGCGATCAATAAAAATCCAATTTAAATACATGATTTTCAATTCCCTTACAATTCAATTTTCATGTATGAAAAACGGCTTCTTTACTAATAATGAAGATATAGTTTCAACATGACATTATAATCAAGCTTTCAAAGAACATTTATTTGTTTAGAGGCACACACATGTGATACTATATAGATAATCCATGCGTATATGAAATCGAATAAAAGTGACTTTCCTTAATCTTCAAATCTTGAAAGCAAGAATCACTATAAGTTGTAGCAAAAGGTTTATTACCTCTATTCTTAAATAAACATATATACGATAAATATTAACTAATGACATATGTCCAAACACATGAATCTTAAAACATGTTTCACTGATACTATTAACTTACTCCCATTTTTCTTACTCTAATTATGTATATCCATCAAACATGTATTTTTTTCCTTTTAAAATTTGAAGTTGGTTCATTTGGGATTTTAACCGGATAATCAATCTAATATTTAGCAGAAAATATCAAATACTTAATCCATGTTTAATCTAATTATGGGTACTATAAAGTTTTAAAGAATACAAAGGTAATCAGTCCAAGAGACCATAATGCTTTTATAAAAGTGAGTCTTTTGTACATGAGGTTCCAGGTGAAGCCGAACATGAACATGTTACTATAATATACAAGGTTTTGTTTACGGTCAGGTTGTTCAAATTAAATTTTGACCTCAAGAATTCAAATGTAGTTAGTGTATAAATAAGTCAAGAACTCCAACTATTTTTAATTGTTTTGTTCATTTTTGGTAGCATCTAACTAGCATTTTTAATAAACCTTTTGTCATTAAAAAAAAGAATTTACTCTTATCGATAATTCAATTAACTACAATCACATATAGTTAAAAGATGATTCTTAATACTTGATGAACCATATATAGAATCCTAAGACCTAAAAGGTTTATCGGGAACCATGATTAAGTTGAACCATGAACATCCTAGTTTTTTTTATCAAATTAACTACAATCACAACTATCTTTAACCATTTTTAAAACCTATTTATAGTTCAAACTAAGTGTAAAACATGTATTATATGTTTACCAACACAAATTAAATGAACATCATGAATATTCCATATCGATTTAAGTTTACTCATTTCATATGGGCATAAAATCTTCATAAGATCCAAGGAAGAAATGAACTTTCATTTTCATCAAATTAAGTCATTACAATTCAAGAAAACAATTTCCTCATTCCTAATAAATCAAATATTTGAGTTTATGTCTAAAACTATCATTTATGTTTCATGCATGATCTTGTCCATCATTGAGAATAAGATTACACATAAATGTGAAAAAGAAAAAACACCTAGAATCATGATCTTACTTCATTAAGAACACTTCTGATCATTACACAAACCCGATCAAAACATGATCGATGGAAATAGAAAGTAAAACTTAAAACTAGACAAACCACTTAGATAAACACAAACTTAGACTCAAAAACAAAAACACAGACATGGACCAGACCGATGGACAGTAGACCCGAATGACACTTTAGCATAACTAAAACTTATTCTAGTAATTAAGATGATAAATAGTTATATAATATCAATTTCCACTTCAACCCTATGGAAGTTACGGTGACAACCGCACGCATCACAGGTCATTGCACTATCAGCTCCCTCTGCCCGACTTGCCATAAATTCCTGACACCCATCAAAAACGTATTCACCAGGCTTGACAGCATGGTTCCGTTGGCATGCTCCAAAATTGACACTTATCCTAATATTGTTCACCAAAATACTTGTCTCTGATGATGATTCTTCTCTTCTGCGTACAACTTTCTTCCTCGCCCTCGTCCTGGCCATTTTCTTGTTTGACTTCCTAACAAAACCCTAGCCCGTAGAGATTATTTATACCTAAATCCCTAAGGTATATATGAGTGTATGTGTGGGTTTCCACATACATTTAAGATCATTTAATGATAAAAATTCAAACATTAACTATTTTATATGTCTATTTGACACGTCAAATGATGATATATAAGAAAATGATTAATATATTTATCATATGATTTTTTTTTATAAAAATAACTTAATTTAAAAAAACAATAAATTGTTAATTTTTTTTATTTGTTTTATATTAAAATGAGATTCTAATTGAATAATATGTTATTTATCTAAAATAATATCATATTTGTGTACAAATATATTAATTTATTTTGCCATTATGATCTACAACACAAAATCATATTTATTTTTTCACTTCATTCCAACAAACTAATATAAATATAATACAAATTAAATTTTCTATTTTATTATACTCTTAATTTCTATTATTATTTTCAATTTTAAACTATGACAAAAAAAAAAAAATTCAACCTAAATATTTTTTCGTTTATTATTAGATTACGCTGCATTTATTTTTTTAGAAAGTTTTTTCATTTACCAAACTTTTATATTACATAAATAATACTCATTAATTGCACATTAATGCTCATAAATAACTGAAAACAACATTTTAATTTAAATCCAAAACATATATGTATCATAAATAAGTTGCAATAAATAAGGTCAAATTAAATATATATATA